GAGTCGACAGTATATAACAACCCTTCTAATAGTTTATTCTAGGTTTTACCCAGATTGTATGATAATGCTTTACAATTTGTTTTCTGATATTAGCTGGCCACAACCTTTTTTCACCTTACAAATGAAACTTCAGACCTCTCTACCTTATTCGACCCTGCTTCTTTTCGTCTCTTCACTTTCGCATTCAAGGCCTTCAAGAGATTAGTTCTTGGTTTGCATGTACCTATCAAGTGTTTCTCTGCCTTTGTGGGTAGAACTTCTAGGGAGCTCCAGTGGTCTGTAGGGAACTGTCTTGCTAACTCAGCGGTGTCACCTCTCTGCTAGCTCGAGTCTGGTTAGCAGGGCAAAAGTGGGCAGTCTCCTCCTGTACCATTTACAGCCTCCGAAAACCAGCTGGCGGGCCAACCACAGACAGTCCTGACTTGATGACTATGAGAGCTGGACAGGAACCTCAGTCTTTCTTTTCCTTGTCTGTTACCAAAAATGAGGGGGTCTTCTTCTTCGTAGCCCTATTTTCCGAGGCTGGTACATGATGGTAGTTCAGGCCTTCTTCTCATGGTCAATTCAAAGAAGAACATTCTGTGAATTCTAAAAAAAACACTCTAAAATTATTATGAGTATTGATTGATTATTAATTGCACAACAAATTCTCTATGGTGTTTTAGTTGTCATATGTCTAAAGCTCTTTTGTCCACTTGCCTTGGGCTTTTCATTTTGTTTCAGAGACATTGAACCTATGATACCATACTTGCTTAGGGCATATGTGTCCAATTAGTATGTGTGTATGGGGGTATTTTCAGACAGGACTAGCAAGGGGGGTGAACTAAGAGACAGCAGTAGGACACTAATACAGAGTGATGAACCAGATATTGCTTTTTCTTACTACTACTGAACTATGAAGGAGCTCTGGTGGCCTAATGGCAAGAAGCTGTACTGCAATCCCAAAGGCACATAGTTTGAGACCACGAGTTGCTTCACAGGTGAAGGATGGACAATCTCCTCCTGTGGAAATTAACTGCCTCTCAAAACCCTTGAGAGAGTCAGCTATGTATGGGTCAGTTCTGACTCAATGGTATACAAAAACAATGAACTATGAAGATGAAAATAACTTAGAACTCTGTAGTTGTCCCAATTTTTATACCAAATATGAATTGCCATAAGTTTTGTTTTACCTCAAGGCAGAAGTGAGGTACTGTGTAGTAAGTAATTTTAGAATACAAACTATGTAATAAACATCTCATGACAGACTGAAAAAAAAAAAGAATACAAACTATGTACTGGTGATCTCAATAATTATTGAACTTGTTAAATGTACCATTGAGCCTGGTTTCCGATGCTTTGATTTGGCACGTTATGTGTGTTTGTGTGTGCTTTCATTTAAAGACCTTCACCTCTGCTCTCACAGGGGTTTTTGACAATGCTCCAGTGTTTGAGTGTTTTCTAGCTCTGGTGTGAGCGTATCTCAGAGGTTACAGATGACAACACTGAGGATTCATCCTGAAATAAAGAGGAGCATGTTTTAGCTGATAGTGATTCCACATTCTTTCCAGGGGTAATAATAACTGGGGTTCTTGAAACCTTACCAATATGATGAAGTAACCACACGTGCCTGGAGGAGTGATTTCATCATCTCCTTCCTTGCATGACACAATCTCAAGTGCAGCCCACATCCCCTTGGAAACTCTGAGTCGCTCTGGATTTCTCAGGTTTTTTATGCAACATCTTAAAGAACCTGAAGCTTGGGATGTGATGTTTTGTCTGCGTGAACAATTGCCTTCAGGAAGATGTACACCACATAGATTTGAACTGATCCTGGGACTTGGGGTCCTGGGTTTTGGCTACTACAGGCTGCTTTCCAGCCTTACAGACCCCAAAAGGCTTCAGGCTGCTCAGGCCCTCGCTTACGTGTGTAGGAAGGAGGGGTGTGTGAATGTGGAACTTTCTGGAGTGTGATTTGCCTTTTGACTTAAGACTCCCTCTGCCACAAAGACTTACCTGTAAGTGAGAGGCAGTGGTATTTTATGTGCTAGCCAAGTGACTATGGTGCAGGGACTCTGAGATCCAAGCCTTCTTCAGATTATTAGTGTTAGAGGCAAAAGGAAGGTGAGCTTTACAGAGCACTTTTGGGTAACCTGCATGTTACCAAAAAAGAAAACATGTTGATTAGAATGTGTAGGAATCTCTTCTGCCACCTCAAATGTAGGGAGGGTTTGCATGTCTGTAAACTAAGCAATGAAAATTGACTGTGTTCTAGGTTAGAGGTGGGCTGGATTTAACCTGGGGATCATTTGGCTTGTCTGTTTTGATATACCCTGTCAGTTAATAATGGCTTTTATATTTTATACATTTGATTGGAAAAAGAGAATCAAACCACAATACTTGAAGACAAATATTAAGAATATAAAATTAAAATGTCAGTGTCCATAAGTAAATCTCATTCTATTATAGTTTGGAATTTAAAAAAGATGGAAAATTATTTTTTCCTTTTATTAATCTATGCATAATATGCTTGGTTTTTCCTCTTGGGCCACAATGTCTAAAATAGTATTTTTTTAAAAAATCTACCTCTTTATAGAAAACATTTCCTGAGCTTGTTCTAAGTAATTTTAGAGTCTCTTTAGATGATTGGTTTTTAAACTAGCAATCATAATCTATCAGGGGTTGGTAAAATCAACATAAAGAGTGGCAACTAGCATTTTATAAATAAATGAAACAATAAAATAAAAAAAATTAGGATAGAAAATACAGTGCATTACTTAAAGTAAACTTAAATTTTATTTTATGAAATTTTTCTTCCAAAGAGCTTGTGTGTGTGTGTGTGTGTGTGTGTGTGTGTGTGTGTACATTCATTGGGTCACCACGTCAACAGAGGTCAAAGTCCCAGCACCGTGAGCTTCATAAACGTAGAGAACCTGTCATTCATGCTTCTTTCCTTAACAGAATGCCTGTGGGTGGGGGGATGGTGAGGCGGGGGAGAATAGGCTTTTATAAATGCTTTAGAGGATAAATGAATGAGTTCAGGGAAGAAGTAAGGCATAATCATTGGCACAGCTAATGTGTTTGCCTCAACGTATGTAACTTCCTGAAATAGGAACACAAATATCAAATGGTGGCACAGATAATTTGTTTTCTCTGTATCAGAAGCTACACAGAAAGGTTGGTTCAAGTTTTGTCCTAATGAATATGTCCTTGAAGTTCTGTGATGACTGTTATGTAAGTATGAAGGTAAGCTCTAGATGGAATGTCCTGTGTTCAGGTACCAGCTTCAGGTACCCTGAACTCCTGGGAACTTAGGTCTAGTCACCTCTGCCTTCCATGCTCAGTTCCTTTATCCTGGGTGCATTGAGAATGACAGTCATAGTTGCCTTTCTTTTCATCTGTGAGGATAAAGTCAGGCAATATGGTGGTGTTGTTATATGATGTCAAGTTTATTACTACTCATACCTTCCCTATGCACAATAGCTCTAAACCCTGACCTATCTTGAGTCAATCTCACTGTCTCTGACACACCTACTCCCATTATCTTAGTTACTGTGTCAATCCATCTCAACCAGGGTCTTGTCTCCTGCACTGTCCCTCTCCTCTCCAAGCATGATGTCCTTCTTAAGGACTGGTGCATCTTGGCAACATTCCCAAATTATGTGAGATGAGGTTTCAAAATCTTTGCCTCTAAAGAACAACTTGATTTCACCCTTTCACGGTATATTCAGTATTCTTTTCCATCACCACAACTCAAAGTTATCAATTCTTCTGTGATCTTTAGTTACTGTCCAGCTTTCTGGTGCACAGCAAGTAATTGCAAAGACCATGGCCTGGATCAGAGGCACCTTAGTCTTTAGACTGACATCATTGCTCTTTAGCACTCTGGAGAGGTCCCTGATGTGTAATGTAAATCCTATTTTGATTTCCTGACTGCTGCACCAAGAGTATAGATTGTGGAACTAAGCAAGTTGACCTTGTTAATAATCTCATTCTCTTCTCCATCTATCATGGTACTGCCAGTTGCCCATTGGTTCCACAGACAATGTGTAGGGGAGTGTGAATTAAGTTCAGAAGTATGTAAGATGTGGTGTGTTAAAGGTAGCTGGTTCAAACTCACCACTGACCCTCTGGCAGAAAGAACCAATCTCCTCCTATGTGATTTACAGCCTCTGAAACCCCACTGCAGTATCAGCTATGAGTTGATTCTGACTCAAAGTCAATGTGACTTTTCTTCTACTGGGTACAATGCTAAGCACATGAAGGAATGTATGTTCCTCATAGCCTTAAGCTGGTGAAAAGTTAAATAGCAATACAAGATTTACAAAAGGCAGTACTAGAAGAGGTCGGCTAGCCATGTGTTTGCAAATGTTTGGGCTGAGGAGGTAAGAGGACTCTGTGGCTGGGATAAGCTCTCTAGGAAGAGAGGACCTGGGAGAGTGGTGGTAAGAGGTCTGCAAGCTGAGTGGAAGGGAAGGCAGGGCCTGGCAATCCTCCTGCCGGCAGAAACCTTGTGGGTGAAAAAAGTCCCCTCTGAATGAATGACTCCACGGGCTAATTGGTGCATTACTTTCTGTGATGGCCTGATAGTACGAGGTAACAAAATGAAAAATCAAATGAGAAATGGAGCCAGGGTATCCAAAAACTTAGTAAATTTTGACATTAGAAATCTAATCAGATTTCATGACGGCTTCTCTGCAGTGACAGCCACGGCCATCCACGTCAGATCAGAGGCCTGTGGTATGTAGCTTCATGTGGCTTTTCTTCCCTTTCCCTCTTTTCCTTTTGCAAAATCAGCATTAGGCTATTTGGAGGACAGGCGAGAACTATTATGTTAAATTGTGCTACCTACAACTTAAGCTTCTGTCTTTGCTAAAGCTGCCAGTTTTTATAAACAACAGAAGACAGAAAGGGTTTACTAAGAATAATGTTGAAGCCCAAAAGAATCCTACAGCCTATAAATCTTAATAGAGGTTCTGAGATTCCAGCAGGCTGGATGTGTCTCTTTTACCCAAGCTCACTCCATCTTGGCTCCCCGGTGATGACTCCAATTTTCTCGAAACACAGGCACGGTGCCTTGAATTTACTTGTGGCACTGTTTGCCTACAAACAGGAATACATGCATATAACCTATGCAAATCAATAAAAACATGTCAGGACCCCTTAGATCGCACCACTCTCCTAAAGCACAATTTATCTTGCTGCAAATGAGTGTAAGGGACTAGGTAACAAATAGCGTCTGATCATTTAACTAGCACCTGTTGTCAATGCATTTGAAAACTGAATTTTTCATTTGACATACAGTAAATTGCATTTTCATATATATCGAATAGAAAAGGGAGTTGGGATGTACATATGCAGCCCTTTATGAATTTTATGAACAATGGGATATTTTAGAGCTGTATGTTTAAAGGGGTCACGTCAAATGCTGCAAATCTATTTGTTTCTCCAGCGTTGGTTGTGAACACATAGCACTTTTCCTATGGTTGGGTGTTGAAGCGCAGCAATGCTGAAAATATAATTATAACATTCATGTTAGGTGAAGGACAATTACTATAATTTTTGTATAAAATTGAATATAACTTAAATGTGTAAATGTTAAATATTATTTTTGAAAAAAGTTTCTCAGGGGAAAATGGCTTTTTTATAAATTACATTTTTCAGTCAATCCCTTTGTAGACTTAAATTATGAGCCACGTGTGTGTGTGTGTGTGTGTGTGTGTGTGTGTGTGTTTAATGCAATACTTTGCAGATGGGTGGCTGTTGCACAAATTCAACAACACTTAGGCTTATCAGCAACAATGGTTTTTACATTAGTGAGCATGGTTTGGCAATATTATTTGACATCTGGAACAAGCTATATTATACCAGACATATCAAGTATAACTGAATGGATCATTTAACTGGCATTTGTTTCAAAAACTCCCACTCTTCAGCTTTTGCCTGGCTGTCATGATATGCTGGCAATGAATCCTGCAACCCCCCAGCTTCCGAGCCTCTCTTCCTGCCATTGCTCTTATCTGCATGCTTACTTCCTACCTTAAGTCAACATTTTGCAGCGCAGGTCCATAGGTTATGAAGGTCAGACTCATGGACAATAGTGCTTGCCCTTTAATGTTATGTAAATTTGCCCTCCCTTAAAAGTGGTTGAACCTTTTCCTACTCACAACAAACACTTCGTCACAGACAGCTTCACTTGCTCCGTGTCCTGCTTTTAAATAACTGAAAAAGCTTGGCATCTATTTTTGCACTAAAGGAGAGCTAAATAGGAACCATATGCACCTGCTTTCTTTCTTGCACATTAGACTTACAGACTTAGATAGGAACAGGTTTTGATTGTGACCCAGGGACTGCATGGAATAGCACTAACATCGTGTTTCTTGTGTCTGTTTCTCTGAGAAGCCCATGATTTCAGGTAACTATCAAGTTTAGTCACTTAGTGACAATTTCAGGAATCAGGCCATCGATCTCGTCATCAGCTCTTTCTCTCATTCCGAGTTCTAGATTGTGGACCACTTGACATATCTATATCATTTGTCGCCGGGAGACCTGCTTTGTTGAATCTTCTGTAAATTGGCCAATGGGATAAGGGGATACTGGGGAGGAACCCTGCTGCTTTATAGCTATAGATAAACAAAAACAATCTCATAAAGACAGAGAGGGAAGAAAATGGAAGTAGAAAGGAATACTAGAATTCTAGCGTTGAAAGTTTCACTTAATCTGTCAGGTCAATTTTCCCTAGCAGCTTGGGCTGTGTAGTTAAAGTCTGAGGAGTTTTCTGTCTCTGCCTTTACTCTGCCGAAGGAGTCTACTTTTTCGATCTCAGAGTCAAGATCATGAAGACTTTCAAGGAGAACCTGGCACACAAATGCTAAAGATCCTTTCAAAAATAAAAAAGCAACACATTTACTTTGTCAAATGATGCTACTGTTGCTGTTTTAATGGCTGTACCAGGGAATGAAGGGTTTATAGTAAAGTAAAAAATTAACAAACCTCACATGGAAGGCAAAGCTAAATCATGAGAAAGTCATAAGCTTGTTTGTTCCCTGTCGCATTTTATAGAATTGTTTTTAGCAACATAAACATGTCAGAAGTTGAGACTTGAAGCTGAAAAGGTTTTCGGTGTTCACACTAATGTGAATAATGCGGGAGCTAACCTTAGTGGTCAGAAAGAAAAGAGGCAGCATGAGCCCTCTAAAGGTCCTCTTTTTTTTTTTTTATGAGTTGGAGATTACTTCATTAATTCAGCTTTTCATTTATTCTATCGATATATTTTGAGATGTTACGTGCAAAGTGAAGTGTGAAATCAAGGATAAAAAAGTAGAAAGTTGGGCCCTTGCTTTCTGAAACTGTTAAAATGTTATCAGAATTCTGTACTTTTAGCTTATTTCTGGTGAAAATTATTGCAGTTAATGAATGGGAAGGGAAAGACTTGATGCTGGTAGTGCCTCATGGGCTTTGTAAGTTTCAGCACTCAGGAAGCAGGCCTTTGGTTTTTAACTGATTCTGGCTGCTGCCATTGGGCTTCATGCTTTCACAACACAATGTTGTAGCAGCAAGTGTGTTGTTTTGGGGGTAGTGGAGTGGCTTCTGATGGCTTTACTGCTTAGTTAGCGGTGTTCCACCCAAGACAGCTACTTAACTGAACAGGCCTGTGGTCATGGCTCCCTGCTTAACTGATAGGCATCCTGGCCTAGCTGCTTTTTCTACTATTTTTTTCCTTCACTGGATTTCATATACATCTGCCTATTTACTTTCAAATTCAGAAGGAGCATTAGGCTCATAAATCTTCTGGGTACGCCAAATGAATTAAAATTTTACCCACTAGAGTTGTTACCTTAATACCTTCCTAATTATCTCACGCGCCCAGACTTTAGATGAAATTGAAATAAATCGGTAAAGGAAGACTGTGTTTCTCCTCTGTTTAAATGCCATCTGCCTTGCACGCTTTGCCCTCAGATCTCTCCTTGCCCTACTTTCTCAGTATCACAATGGGCCTGTTACTTGTGGAACAATTTCCCAAGCTTTCTTGCCTGCTGGCTTCTTACTGGGTTTAACCAATGGGAGACCCTAGGAAGGGATTAGGAAGAAAGTGAGAAGAGAGGTCAAGCTGTGGTGTTTCTTCGTCCATGCTTTGTTTTTGGAGGCTTCTTTGGAAGTACTCCATCACTGGGGTCTCTCTGGCTCCTGCCAGGCCTGGCATATCATGGCTTTAGACTTCGCTGATGACCATTCTTAAAGGGGAGTCAACGGGTTGACTCATGAGATGTGGCTGATGATTTGGAAATAGATTGTCAGGCCTTTCTTACATGACATCTTGGAGTGGACGTAAATGTCCAACCTTTCAGTTATCAGCTAAGCATGCTGTTCTTGGTCTTTATCCCCGTCCTCCCTTCATCCCTTTAGCCTCAGTGTGGCCATAGTTTCTTGCTGTTGCTTTTCTATCACTGGTAAATCTGCTGTGAATATTTGAATTACTTTCTGTTTTCCAGGAATGCCCCTAAATGATGCCTTTTTAGTGCCTAAGGACTTCATGGCAAATCCATGAGCCTTCAAAAAGTCCTTAATATCTCTGTGCAGTAAAAACCTGTTTATTAAGAAAAGTTAAGAATTTAATCTTTCCATATTGGTGTGGCTGTGCATTTTGGCATTAGTTATAGGAGAACATTGTTTGCTGGGTCTGTAGCCAGAGGTGAAAGCAATTGACCACACTCTGAAGATAAACTGGTTTGGGTTTCTTGAGACTTACTTTACTTGTAGTAGCATATAAATTGTGAAATGAGTTGGAAACAAATGCTGGAATCTCTGACTTTATTTTAGATCATTAATATGATAAGCATAGTATTTTCGTATTATGGGAAGTCTCATAATCATAACTCAACCTGGTCACTCTGTGTAGTTTAATAAGGCCAGATTTATTCCATGAGCACCTTGATGACCTGGCATCATGCCAGGCATAAACTAGAAGTAGTCCTCAGTCAATGATGGTCAGTAATCTTTGGACTGGAAATAAAAAAATTAAAAGCTCATCCACAGATTGCCTTGTGTTTAACCATTTTTACATCTTCATTTAGAAATACATTTATAATGGTTAGGAAAAAATCATAAATGACTTTAACTTTAGGTAGTTGTTGTTGTGTATGGTAGACATGGAACTGACTCATAGCTGACCCTCCGGCGGGTTTTCAGAGGCAGGTAATCACATGAGAGGAGGTTGCCCCTCTTTCTTTTTCAGAGCAGCCAGTGGCCTCAAACTACGGACCTTCAGGATTGCAGCACATCTTCTTGCCACTCGGCCACCAGAGCTCCATATTCAATTAGGACAAGCTAGAATTGGCCCCAAACATTGACAAAGCACCTATCAGTTTTAAGAGTTGAACATTTTCAACTCCTTTAAAAGTGTTCAAAACTGGTATTTTCTGTTTCCTTCTTTGAGTTTTAAGGTGTCATGAATTAATTATAAAGAATCTATTAATCTAGTATTTTATTAATAATCTATATTTTGCATCTAGCTCTGGTGGCCTAGAGGTAAAAGCTGCACTGCAGTCCTGAAGGTGCACAGTTTGAATCCATCAGCTACTCTACAGGAGACAAAATGGGAGATTACCTGCCTCTGTAAACCCACCAGAGGATCAGCTATGAGTCAGTTCTGACTCGATGATACACAACAACAGCATATTGCCTGTACACTGTCATCTAGCTTTCCTAAGGGGCAGAATTTGGCCTTGGGAAGGACTAGTGAGTTGCCTAGAAAACCTCAAAGTCAAAAAACAACAGCATATTCAATTACTGTAATTTAATAGAGACATGGAAGTCCTCTATTTTAGTTGCTGAGAGCACACACAGTGCCTGACCTCATGGAATGTGTAATTTACTGGCAAATATTGACAATTAAGGATGATTGTTGTTGTTGTTCTGTGTGATTGAGTAGACTGCAACTCATAGTGGTCCTGTGTCCTTTCCTGAGTCAGGGCAGTTAAATCCTGCCCTTTCCTGAGTCAGGCTCACTCTCTCCAACAGACCAACTCTATTATCTCAGTTACTGTGTCAGTCCATATCATCCTGGGTTTTCCTCTCATGGGCTATTTCTTCACCTTTTAATCATGATGTCCTTCTCCAAGGACTGGTCTCTCCTGGCAACATGTCCAAAGTTTGTGAGATAGAGCTTCGAAATCCTTGCCTCCAAGGAGCAACTTCTTCACCTGTTTGATTTTTTGGCAGTCCATGGTATGTTCAATACTCTTCTCCAGCACCCCAATTCAAATGCATTGATTCTTCTTCTGTCATCCTTATTAAGTGTCCTGATCTCTGATGTGTAGCAAGTAGTCGGGAAGACCATGGCCTAAATCCAGTGCACTTTGGTCTCTAGACAGACATCGCTGCTCTTTAGCACTGGAGAGGCCCATGACAGCAAATTTTCCCAGTGCAATTTGTCATTTGATTTCCTGACCACTGGTGCCAAGGATGATTACTGGGGACATTTTAGGGCCTGAGGGGGAAGAGGTACATTTGGTAAATGGAGATTTAAAAGACCAAAGGAACTTACTTGGTCAAAGTCAAGAGAGAAGAGTCAAGCAGAAGGACCATTATGCTTCTAAATCAGCAGACACAATGACATGGAAGTATTTCAAAGTTGGGTCTTCCTAAAAGTAAAATAATCTTTTATTCATTTTTAAAAATTCTTGGGTTTTTTTGTAACCTTGCCTAGGAGAGCTTATTTTGGTGATGGTGGTAGTTGTACATGATTGCATATGATTGGGTATTATTACTTGTTGATGAGATTTAATTTTCTCATGTTTAAATGTGATCCATTTTCTTGTGTCTAGAACATATTTAAATCACTCAAAATGAGAAACAAAGGAAACCTTATTATTAGTTTAAGTAATTTGTTTATTGAGTTGAGATGATGGGTAGAGGGAGATTCTAATACTGAGATGATATGGATACTCAGATTCTGGAGTGACAGGACAAGCATAAGTCTTTGTGATGACTGGACTAGTCGTATCAGAAAGTTAATTCTGTTTTTATTGTTATTTTTTTTATCCTTTACCCTATTTGTTTTTTTTTCTGGTTTCTGTTCTTTCAACTCAAACCTCATCAACTTGCAATACCCCTGATAAAACTCATTTATAATGCTGACCAAATTTTCTGGCTCCAGCCAGCTGTTCAGTTTTTTCTTGTGGAAGGTCCCAAACTCTTCTCACTACTTGTTCTGAAGATAAATTAGCAACTTCTAAATAATGCAGTGAACCCTAATTCTCTTTGATTAGTAGCGAGTTAGATGATAGCGACCCATTGAAATTGGCCATCAGCATAAATAATGAGTGAATGAACTGATAAAATGCAAAGTCACCGGCCGTCATAAATCAAATGAAATCCACTTTCTCTGGAAGTCACTGAAATTAGAAGTCCATGCTCCTATTAATTATTTTGCCTTCTGAAGACGACAGTGTTATAAATCAGCCTTGAAAGGCCCTTCACTTAGAAAGCTGAAGGAGTGAGGCTGCCTGCAAATTGCTTTGTGTACGCACCTAATTGTTTCTTAAGTAATCTACCTTTGTAGCTTGGTTTCAGGAAACTTAGAAGATACCCTTCCATTGAAATCCATGAATATGGCTATGGGAAAGTCCAGAGAGGGGTGGGCAATTACTCACCCCCTTCCCACGAAAAGGTATCCCTGGTGTCTTTATTTTATGCCTCAGACCCCATCAGGTTGTGTCTGGTAGTCCTGCCTCTCTTTGTCAGGATCCAGGAGGCTGGTGATAATCCCAGGCCATGATATCATCTTGTTTCAACTCAACTTGCATTCAGGCCTGGAAACCAAACTTTATTTAATGTCAGTGAGAGATAAAAATGGGGGCGGGGAAGGAGCAGGGGAAGGGCTCAATAATGAAACAGAGATTGAAAATTTTGTATCTCATGTACATTTTTCCCCCTTTTCATTTTAAGAGTCATTGTAATCTACATATATTAGGTGTGAAATGGCACACAATTTTTGCTAAAGGGTGGGTGGGAAATTATATTCATTTAGGAGCCTATTTTGCAACAGTCATTTAAAAGAGTAACGTTTTCTAGAAATGAGGTTAATTGCATGTAGGAATTGTTTTAAATTAGTTTCATTTTGGACCACTACCTGTCATATTTAAAGTTCTGAAGCTGAGATTAGTGATTAAGGAAAAAAAGAAACAAACCCCAAAAACAGTTCTCCTGGGGGTATTTGAAAAAATTTTGTTGAGCAAAGCGGGCAGAGATGACAGATTCTCCCCTTCCTGTTGTATGGGTGAGGATATTTTTGTCCTACGTGAAGCCTCATGAGTACAACTGTACCAGGGTGACCTGTGGGTTGCTGTGATGCATGAAGCTGTGCCACTGGAGTTTCAAACACCAGCAAGATCACCCATGGTGCACAGGTTTCAGCAGGTCTACCAGCTTAACTCCCAGGAAGCAGGACTGGCTATCTGCTTCTGAAATAATAGGCCTTCAAAAATCCTACAAACAGTAGAGGAACACTATTAAGTATAACGCAAGATGTAGAGCCTGCACATTGGAAAATACTAAAATATGACGAGAAACAGCTGCAAGCATCCATTAATAATTGGAACATGGAATGTGTGATGTATGAATCTAGGAATATTGGATGTTATAAAAATGAAAAAGACATTGTAGGCATTAGTGAACTGAGATGGACTGTTGTTGGCCACTTTGAAACAATCAGATGATCAACACAGCTGGGAATGAAAAATTAAGGGAAAATGGTTTTCTATTCATAGCCAAAAAGACCATTTCAAGATCTATCCTGATGCATAATGCTATGAGTGACAGTATACTGTCCATACACGCACAAGGTAAACCTGTTAATACAACTAGTTTTCAAAAATATGCACCAGTCACTAAGGTGAGGAAGACTGAGGATTTCTACAAACTGTTTCTGTATGAGGTTTATGAAATATATAGTCCAGAGGCAATAAATTATAACTAGTGACTGGAATGCACAGGTTGAAACAAGGAATGACTGATAGTTGGAAAATATGGACTTTGAACTTGGTGACAATAATGAGAGTGGAAATTGAATGATTGAATTTTGTATAATCAGTGATACATTAATTGAAAATATCTTTTTTAAAAATAACAATTGACATCTACACACATGGACCTCATCTGATAGACTCTACAGGAATCAGATTAACTACATTTGTGGGAAAAATCATTGGAGAAGTTCAATATCTGCAGTCAAGACCAGGCCAGACTATTGAACATGTCATCATCCTGTGCAACTAACTTCAAATTGAAGCTGAGGAAAGTAAAAATAAATCCACAAGAACTAAAAGAGAACACTGAATCTATGCCACTTGAATTTAAGACCATTTTTAGAATAGGTTTGATTGAAGACCAGATGTACTGTGGATAACATCATGGACATAATCTATGGAGAAAGCAAAATGTCCTATGAAAATAGAGGAGAAAGAAAAGACCAAAATGGATGCCAGAAGAGACTTTGAAAATTGTACTAGAACATCGAGAAACCAAAACAAAGGGAAGAAATGCCAAAATAAGAGAGATGAAGAGAAGATTTCAAAGGGCAGCTCAAGAAGACAAAGCAAAATATTAAAACAAAATGTGCAGAGCTGGAGTTAGAAAATACAAAGAGGAGACCCTGCTCAGCACTTCTCCAGTTGAAAGAAGTGAAAAACAATTTCCCCCCCTGCAAATTGCAATACTGAAGGATACCATGGGCAAAATCTTGAACAATCCAGGAAGCATCAAAAGAAGATGAAAGCTATGCACAGAGTGACTATACCAGAAAGAATTGGCTAACACAGAACCATTTCAAGAAGTAGCTTATAATCAAGAACCAATGGTAATAAAAGAAGAAATTCAAGTCACACTGAATGAATTGGCAAAAAATAAGGCTCCAGGAACCGATGGAATACCAACTGACGTGTTTCAAAAAACAAATGCAACCCTGGATGTACTCACCAGGTTGTGCCAAGAAATTTGGAAGACAGCTACCTGGCCAACTGACTGTAAGAGATCCATGTTAATTCCCATTTTCAAAAAAGATCAACAGAATATGGAAACTATTGAGCAATATCATTAATATTACATGCATGCAAAATCTTGAAAATTATTAAAAATGGCTAGAACAGTAGTGCATAGAAAACTGTCAGAAATACAACCTAGAATTTCTAAAAAAAGGCTCTAACACCAGAAATACCACTGTTCATGTCAGATGGATCTCAGATGAAAGCAGAGAATACCAGAAGGATGTTTATTTGTGTTTTATTTACTGTGTAAAAACATTTGACTGTGAGGATTACAACAAATGATGGCTGACATTGAAAAGAATGGGAATCTCCAAAAAATTGTGCTGATGTGAAACCTAGACCTAGACCAAGAAACTGTTGTCTGAACAATTCCCCATGCAAGGGAACACTGGATGGCAGAAAATCAAGATAGGTATATGTCAGGTCTGTATCCTTCCTTTATACCTGTTTAGTCTGCATGTTGAACAAGTCATTTGGGAAGCTGGACTTTATGAGAAAAATGTGGCATAAGGATCAGAAGAAGATTCATCAATAACCTGCATTATGTAGATGACACTATCTTGCTTACTAAAAGTAAACAAGACTTGAAATACAAGACCAAAGACTACAGCATTCAACATGATTACATATCAACATCAAGAAGATAGAAGTCCCCACCACCAGGCCTATAGACAACATCATGATAGATGGAGAAAAGATCAAAATAAAAAGATTAAAATAAGATTAAAAATCTTATTTGGATTTACAATCAATATCATTGGTTCCAGCAGTCAAGATATCATAAGACATGTTTCCACGGGAAATTCTGCTGTGAAGGACTTCTCCAAAGTGCTAAAAATCAACAGTGTCAGTTTCAATACGAAGGTGCACCTGATCCAATCTATTATACTTGCTATTTGAAAGTTGAACATTGAAAGAGTGGTAAAAGAATAGTCTATGCCTTTGAGCTGTAATGTTGGAGAAGAGTACTGAATACCCCATGCATGGGCTGTCAAACGTACAAACCAGTATGTCTTAGAGAAGGTGCAATCAGGGTGCTCCTGGGATACAAGGAGACTGAAACTTCATCTCACGTACTTTGAGCATACTTTAAGGAGGAGCCAGTCCTTAGAAAAAGACATCATGCTTGGAAAGATGGAGGGTCAGAGAAAGAGAGGAAGACCCACAACAAGCTGGATTAACACAGTGACTATAACAATGGGCTCAGGTAGATTAGAGGTATGAGGATGGCACAGGACAGGGGAGGGTATAGATCTGCCCTTCCCAGGTTGTTATGGATCAATGCCGTTTAACAACAGTAACAGTTATGGAGAGATATGAGTGACCTTAACTGTGAGTAGAAGCTAGCCTCTGAGAACTCTGGATGGTTTCAAGTATATGCTGTGTGTAGCTTTAGAAGAGACTACTGTCTGGGGAGAAGTGATGTGGGAATTAGATTTTAAAGGGAAAAAAGCATTCATATTGTATGTTTTTCTAAACTTCAGAACTTCTGCTACAGGCCTACCAGATTCCCTCAGTGTCCAGTATAGTGAAATACATTTTCTGGTCTTGGAGAATGACAATTATCTACTGGGTTCTAAGAAACACGTTCTCTTACTTTTCTGTGCTATCATGGTCTGAGTGTCTCTTTCAGTTCTAAATCATCCCCGCAAGAAGATATGGGAGTGCACATGTGTGTTCTTGTGTGTGCGCGCAAATCTGTTCATAGGTAAGTATGTGTGTATTCCTGGATAGCTGGGTGAACAATTTAGCATACAAGATAGTAGTGTAAATCTCTCTCTCTCTGTGCGTGTGTGTGTGTGTTCTGGTGTTAGGCATTAGTCTCAGCTAGATCATTTGCAAAACTCAAAAACCCGTTTGAAAACCATATTGAATGCTGTATAATTGGGCCTTACGTGACAAAATAGAAAGAAGCAGAGTTATTCACAGTGTTAATGAATCCTGAATGTAAATGTGCTCTGAGTTTTGTCCTTGAGCGTAGCCTAGCTTCTCATTTCCCACTGACTCCCTGGGTCACTCTGTTGAAATGTGAGGATTTTGTAATCTCCTGGCTACCCCCGGAGCTGTCTATCCCAGCTATTAGACCTTCCCAGCTCTCACCCACTTCTTACCCCTAATCTTAGAATTCTTGAGAGAGGTGGCTTTTGGAAGAAACAGAGTGCCCAGTCGTTCTGATGTTTTCCTGGAACTCAAGAGTACCTCTCAATGTCCTGAGGTCTAGGAGAGAGGCCTCTGTGTTGTTGTTGTTCTAAGAATGGATGTTACGTCCATCCGCATTATTCCTATGTTTGTCCTGGCTTGAGTTTACATGATGAAGAGGCGCACTAGAAAGTTATAAATTGATAGAAGCCCAGGAGCAGGGGATAAGCTCACCTGCATTATTAGCTTTGGGATTTGCTTCTGGGGTTTGTAAAGGATAAACAAGGTCCAGACCATCTGCAGGGCCATCCATGCTTTCCTGGAATGAGATATTTGTTGCTGAAAATTTGTGGATTTTTAGCCCAGGAAGATAGATTTTCTTTTTCATCGGTGATGCTCCCTACATGACATCTAATCACCATTTGTCCTGGTTTTCCTGGAATGATTTCCATTTATTCCTATATAATATTACTACTATTCCTCATTGCCATCAAGGCAGAATTGACTCTCCACTGGGTTTAGGGGTTTCCCCCCATATTTTTATTTTATATTGGTTTGCATACAAAATAATTATACATTGTGTTTCACACTATCCTTCATTCATATTGTGTTTCATACAATCATTCTCATTCATTCTGTGTTATAAAATTAATCAGCATTGAACTATGCTCACCATTACCCATCTTTTCAAGTCTCCACTGGATGTTTCTCATTTCCTTTACCGTCTCCCTCCACTCACCAAATTGAGTGACCCTGTGATTTCCCTTCACCCATCCTCACCCCTCTGCTCCCACCCTTTCCTCCCTTGGACTCCCATACAGATTATACTAGTTATCCTTCTAGTTTTACAATAATGGCATTGTACAGTATTTGTCCTTAGGAGAGTAAGTTAGTTCACTAGGTTTAATGCTCTCTAGTCTCTCCCAAGTTATGTAGTTATTTTAGAAATCATTGCTCCTGAGTTCTGTGTAGTATTCCATCATGTGAATGTACCACAGTTTCTCAGTTGGATTGTGGTTGGACATTTAGGCTGTTTCCATGTTCTTGTGATTGTGAATAATGTTGCTACAATGAACACTGCTGGACAAATCTTCATTTGTGTCTGAGTTCTAATTTCTTTGGGATATATTCCTGGCATCCCCTGGGCTTTCAAGGTTGCAAGTTTTACAGAAAGAGATAACTCATTTTCCCCTGCCTGTAGCTGTGGGAGGATTCGAAGCACAAGAGAGATGCAAACTTTGGTTTAGTAACCCAAATCCCTATGTTATATGTCATGACCACCCACACCATCCCAGCTTCATTATTGCATTTGCTCCCCCCATTACTTCCATTTTCAAAAGTATCCAGATATCGATGATGACTCTCTATTATTTTTTTTAAAATATTTTTTGTTCCTGCCTCCAACAGGAAATACCAGATTGATATTATCAAAGCTTTAGAGACATGCAGACCTTGAATTTACTCTGTCATGTGTGATATTAGACAAGCTAATGTCTGTGATTTCTGCTTCCTTTTCTGTAAATCTTCGACTGATTTTTCACATCTGGGAAGTTTGGGTTTCTGGATCTGCTCAAGTCATTTATCAGTAGATTCTTGACTCACTCACCTCCCTAATTGAGTCTGTCTTGGAAAGTGAATGTTGTATTTGGGGTATGTCCATTTCATTAAGGAAAAGATTTGTGAATGGAGAATGTATTCCTTTCCCGTTTAGGCCAGTTCCTTTCCTCTAAGGCCCCAGGATCCTGAAAGGCCCCTGGGAGGAGGTAGGTAGGGACGGGTGTTTATTTCTGCAGCATGTGCACTTAGGGAATCTGGGAGAATTTATAAATCCATCATTCCAAGTCATTAGGCGACATGTTGGTCAGTCCAGGAGACTATCTTCTCATTAATTCAGGGGAGATTTACTTGTGTCACCCTCATTAGTATTTATGGGATTTATCCACATCAATCGCTAGTGCATTAACAGGGAAATAACTAAACCTCCCAGGGTTTGTTGGCGCTAATAAAATGAGCTGGAAGTTCCAGAAACCACCATGATCAGAAGTCTTCTAAACCAGGGTCTGTAATTGATGCTTTCAAAGTTCCCTCAGGATGTTTTCCTGTTCACTTCCCTTCCAGTGCCATTTGCATATTAGTTTAGTCTCACAAGGCTTGTGTGTGGATTTTTGAGTAGAGTCCATTTCTTTTAAATCCTAAAATGATAGGAGATAACCTAATGACATGTTGAAAACATCACCGTCCAACCAGATCATGCATATAAAGGAAGGGTTAAATGTCTTACATAATTCTTTTTGTTTGGACCTGCTTATAAAAAAATAAATAAATATGCCTTGAATGTAAATATGTTTTTTATGTATTCCGAACATAAAGATAGCTCTGTCCTACCATATTGATTTATTAGATTCTCTGACATTTTAGTTGTGGTCGTTATGTTATATTTATGAGATGAATGTTGGATTCCCTCATTATGTTATCCTCATTTATTTTACATACTTTTATGGCTGGTTATGCATCGCTTTACAGTTAAAGCTTTATTGCAGCTGTTAGCGTTGAGGGGGAGGGGAAGGCAAGTAGTTATTGATTGGAATTTACATGTTTACTGTTGTAATCATGATTTATTTAATCTGTTTGCACATATAAATATAAGCCCACTCTCTGAAATGGAAAAAAAGTACTGTGTATTTTTAGGAGCCACTCTTAGATCCTTTTGGAATGGAAGTTTTGGGGAGGAACTAGTGGCTTTGGTGATTTGCACTTTCCTTACAGCCTCACAATTAAAAATGGACTTTGGAACCAGAGGACCTGGGTTCAAATACCAGTGGTATTCTTATCAACTGCAGGCTGGGGTAGGGTGAAAGTCTCTGTGTTTCACTTTTATGTTATCTGTACTCACCTCAGGAGCTTGATGCTGGACAGAGGCATAGTGACCCTATGAACAAAAGATCTGAACCCTGCTCTATCCTGCACCATCCTCATGCTTCCTGACACAAAGGAGCCCATTGCAGCATTCACAGCATCAGTCCACTTGATTGAAGATCTTCCTATCCTTCCCTGACCCTCCACCCTTCCCAAGATCATGTCCTTCTCCAAGGAATAGACCCTCCTAGCAACATGCCCAAAGTGTGTGAGGTGAAACCTCATCATCCTTGCCTCCAAAGAGCACTCCGGCTGCACACTCTCTAAGACATATCTGTTTGTTCTCTTGGCTGTCCATGGGATGTTCAGTGCTCTTCTCCAGCATCACAACTAAAAAGCATCACTTCTTTCCCCCGCCCCCCCCCCTAATTAAGTAGGGCCATGGGAAAGTCTGCTGTTAGGGACCTCTGCAAAGTACTGAAGAGCAATGGTGTCTCTCTGGAGACTAAGGTGTGTCTGATACAGGCCATAGTCTTCGCAATCACTTGTTATGCATCAGAGAGTTGGACAATGACCAAAGAGGATAGAAGGAGAATTGATGCCTTTGAGCTGTGGTGCTGGAGAAGAGTACAGAGAATACCATGGACGGCTAGGAAAACAAACAGATTTGTCCTGGAAAGGGTTAAACCGGGTGGCTCCTTGGAGGCAAGGATTCTGAGACTCAGTCTAACATACTTTGGACATGTTGTGAGGAGAGACCGGTCCTTGGAGAAGGACATCATGCTTGGGAGGGTGGAGGGACAGCGCAGGAGAGGAAGGCCTTCTATGAGGTGGATTGATTCAGTGACTGGGATGATTGGGATGGGAGTGTCAGAGACAGTGCGATTGGCACAGGACAGAGCGGAGTTTAGGGCTGTTGTACATAGGGTCGCTATGAGTCGCAAGCGACTCGACGGCACATAACAACAACAACAAATTAAGTAGAGGATCAGCAAAAGAGAAGACCCTGAGTGAGATGGGCTGACCTAGTGACTGCAGCCACGGATACCCAGCCGACAATGGTGAGGATCGGGCTGCAGGATCAGGCAAACTTTGATTCTGTGTGCGTGGGGCCATGAGGTCAGAGCTGCCTGGGCAGCACCCAACAACAACATTGTTTATGAGGGTTCCAGTGCAAATAGTTAAAACTCTTGATTAGGATCTGAAAGTTGGTAGTGTGAATCCATCAAGAGGCACCTCAGAAGACTGTCTCAGTATTCAGCTTTATAAGGTCATGGCCTTAAAAGCTCTACAAGTTAGTTAGTTCTATGCTGCCCACAGTGGGTTACAATAAGTCAGACTCAACTTGGCAGCAACAATTAACAACATAGGTTATGCGAAAGCCAAGAAAGAGACGAATTCATTCAAGTCTGCAGGTTAGTCCATAAAATTTACCTCTTCCTCCAGCATATGTTATAAAACAGGTTTTCGTTTCAGGCTTGCCTTTAGCTCACTTTTAAGGATTCCCTGCATTTTGCCTCAGTCTTTTCATCCATCAGTTGGGTTTAATATTATCTGTCTAACAGTGTGGTTTAGTAGTAAGAGGGACGCTGGATTAGAGTCAAAAGAAATTTTATAAGCCCGAATTTGCCACCTCTTTGTCTTACTACCTAGGTGAAAGACTTAACTTTCCTTGTTATTAATATGAGGAAGTGCTTGTGCTGAAGTTACAGAGTTATGTTGAGAACCAGCTGGGTTGATGTTTGAAACATTGCTTTAAATGCCTTAACGTATGTTTCCTATATGTTGTTAAGAGATTTCGGATGGGCCCCTTGGCTCATAGTGACCTTATGTACAAGATCAGACCAGGAACTATTAATAATACCTGTATGCAGAACAGATTATCCGAGTGGCTGGGCTCTGTGAGGAGAGGTGTGGTGTCAGGATTGGTGGAAGATCTATTAACAGTCTACGTTATGCAGATGACACAACCCTGCTTGCTGAAACTGAGGAGGACCTGAAATGCTTGCTGCAGAGGGTCAAGGACTGCGGCCTCCAATATGGATTGAGACTCAATGTCAAGAAGGCAAAGACTCTCACCACTGGGCCAATTGGCAGCATCAGGATGGATGGTAAAGAGATTAAGATTGTTAACAACTTTAGTCTGCTTGGCTCCACGGTCAAAACTCTTGGCACCAGTAGCCAGGAAATTAAAAGACATATTGCAATGGGAAAGTCTGCTGTTGGAGACCTCTCCAGGGTACTTAAGAGCAATGGTGTCACTCTGGAGACTAAGGTGCATCTGATACAGGCCATGGTCTTCACAATCATTTGTTATGCATCAGAGAGTTCAACAATGACTAGGAAAGATAGAAAGAGAATTGATGCCTTTGAGCTGTGTTGCTGGAGAAGAGTATTGAATGTACCATGGACTGCTAGGAAAGCAAACAGATTAATCCTGGAGAGGGTTAAACCAGG